AGAATTAGAGTTACAAGGGGACAACAATATATTGTTAAAGAGCATTTGTTTATCTCATCACAGGGAGTGACTGTCCAAGGCTAACAGCACATCTATCAATGTTTTACACCACAATTACCCCAGCCTGTTCTACATTTAAAGATCGTAATCTGTTCTGCTTTTTAAGGACAAACCCCAACAGTATCTCAAATGCAAACTATAGAAGCAAAGCATACACATACATTCGTTCAAAACATGCCTCTCTAAAATGCACTCTCACATGCTGGGAATCAAACCAGCAACCTTCTGACTCTTTGACATCCACTTTGAGCCAAAGCACCCTGGACATTTTCCAGCATAATTTTACCGCCACCTAGCGTTTTAGGGGAGCATTACATGGCCATACATGGTGACTGTCCGACCTCCAGCGGCCCGCCTCCTGCCGCTGGCTGCAGCCGGGGATAGTCTCAGGAATCGGGATACTCAGCTGCGAGTGGACTCTAATGACACCCACTGGACGGGGCAGCTCCGGAGGTCCCTAACCGGAGCTTTAAACGCTATTTCCCCGCTGAGATGGACTAACAGGACCGGGGTCAGTGAGCTTCAAGCCCAGGGTGAGTTCTCCAAAGTGAGCTCAGTAAATAAATCCCCAGCAACACATAAACAAACTTGTTAGCTTGTTTGCTAACTTTGCAGTGATGTGAGCTAACCAACGGTTGTCACAATGACATGTTGGTAGCACAGAAACAGACCTATCTAACTTATAAATGCTGGGTTAATTGTGAGATTTAAAGTTTAAATGTACCGCGGTAAGATTAATAAACGGAAAGCATGTGTATTAGCTTTAAGCCCCGGGTGAGTGCTAACTTTAGCTAACGTTTAATATCACTAACTAATGATAAAGATAGCAGAGATAGCTGTTGGCTAACTTTGCACTGCTTTCTGTTGAGCCGTTATATCCACAGCACCTTCACTCATATTCAGAAGATATCTTATACTTAAGTACTTATACTTAAAAGTAAATCTACCAAAAGTATAGGAATACTCTGTTAAAGTAAACAATACTTTGTATACTGAAGGGTAACTTAGAATTTTACTCTAAGTGACAAGTGCAACTAAAGCCTTATTTAAGTCAAAATCTGCAAATTAACTAAAGATATTAAATAAATGTAGTGGACAAAGTATATGATTAACCTCTGAATGGTAGTGGGTTAGAAGTACATGGTAGCAAAACATTATTCTTTTTAAAGTACTGAAGCCTTTTAAAAAAGTGTACTTAAGTACTATACTTTACTGTAGTAAATCTACTTAGTTACTTGACACCACTGCTACTATTTCTCTTCCTTTCTGTTTTGTTTGTTACCATCCAAGTAAATAATCAGATGGCATATGGGATGGGTCTTTTCTTCAGGCGTTTGCTGATTTATCTGAGAAAATCTGAATCCATTTTATTGGCAAAGTTTGTGAACACGTACTCAGAATTTGTACTCCCAATGTTTTCTTACTGCTACCCGATAATGTTTTTATATGAAGGACATTTACTTGTAACATATAGCATTTGTAAACTGGGATATTGTTACTTCTACTCAGATACTTCTTCCACCAATTTATATACAGCTAAAAACAAGGATACAATAACTGGGCAAAGACATAAACATGTAACCGTGTTGTTGAAATACTCAATAATAAAGTATCCCAATTTAGAAAAACCTGACTTAAAATGACCCTTTTGTTTTGTTTCTAAGTGTAATGATGAGGGACGCTTCCACTTTGAGACATTTGGTTGTTTGGCTGTAAATAATTCTTATTTTTCATTAAAAGAGAATATGTTTTTTCCTGTTGTACAAGTTTCTCTGATTGTATTGAATGTTTGAGCCATTGGTGTTAACACTTTACCCATCAGTGATTCAGGTTTGTTTCTAGACTGTGTCCCGGAGCTGGTGTGAGGATACACTTGGCTGATGACCTCCAGCTGTTTGTCTTTGTAAAGCGAGACACCTGCTGTGTTGATTTGTTCTGAATCTGTAAAGGAAGTTGGCCGTGTGCTTTGTTGTCCTGGCTTCAGGCTGATGTAGCGATCCGCTGCGTTATTAATGTGTGACATGATTTCCATTCAGGGAGGCCACGCGCTCTGTAACCGGAGCCAAGCTGTGAACTCAGCCTGCTGCTGGTTTGTTTCCGATGTAGATCAGAGGTCTGCAGAGTCGTTTTGAAGTCGCCTGGATTGTTGAGGAAAATGTCCTAATGATTTGAACTGTCAACCTTAAAGCATAGGAGATGTGCAAGACCTCGAGATACATGTTCATTTGCCTGTTAGCTGCTTTTGAAATCTGCATTTACACGGGCAGTCATGGTGAACGAATTAACGGTCGCTCTATTTGGTTTATTTTCTTCCAAGTATATTTAGATTTTCCATAAGAAAAACCCTGGCATTCCCATTTCTTTCTTTGCATCACTTTTTTTCTTGTATTAACACTTTAAGTGTCTTCCAGAAGAGACTACTATCTGAACATGATGTCCCTTTCTAGGAGCTTTAGGACTTTTGACTAGGGCTGCTCAATTAATCGTATTTTAATCGCAATTACGATTTTGGCTTGCAACGATTATGAAAACAACATAATCGAAATAAAACGATTATTTATTTTATTTAAATGATTTATTTTATTGGTTATTCAGTTGAATTAAACTCAAAGTTCAGAGTAATCAACTGTTAAAAACATACTGTTCACAATTTATTTCAATAAATTCATGTTTTCAAAGTAAATGGATAATCGTTTTTAATAATCGTGATATCAATGATTGACTCAAATAACCGAGATTATGATTTTTGCCATAATCGAGCAGCCCTACTTTGACTGCCGTGCGGTATGAATGATTTAAGTTTTTAATTAGTAGAATTTATTAATCTTTTAGTATAGCTCCTTCAACAAAGTATTCAAACTTTGTTGACATTTTGTATTTTGCAGCGTCATGCTGACATTGTCTATATTGTCTTTTTTACCTCATCAGTTTGAAAAAGTTACAACTTTTTTTTAATTTCTCAAAGAAAATAATTAAATATTGCATTTAGATAAATATGTATTACCATGACACGTGGACCCTTTTAGCTCAGACGCCTCACAATTTCTCTTATTTATCCTGATATGTTGGCACTGTGGTTGCAAACCCCTGGCTGTAAACCATCTGTCTGACATTAATTGGAAAGGCATGGTTATGATGGGCAATTGTAACTAAAACAAATATTCTTCTGAACTTTTAGATGATTAATAAGCCTGTAACCATTGATTAATAACTTCTTCTGTTGTTTCCTCAGCCCCCCCCCCCCCCCTCATGGCGTCGCGGCTGCTGGACCGTCTGAAGCGCTCGCTGTTTAAAGACGGTCAGGCGGCTGGACCAGAGCAGGAAGCAGCATGTGGACAGGACGAAGAGGAAGAGGAGGAGTTTAAAACGGGCAGCTTGGAGGCGGAGCTGGAGGAGGAAGAGGAGTGTGTGACGGATCGGCTCGGGGGGACGCTGTGCTTCGACAGCGGGGGAGGAGGAGGAGAAGATGGAGGCGAGGGCGAGGGGTCGGGGCTGGACAGCGACTCCGACTTCCTGGGAGAGTCGATGGAGGAGGGGCTCAGCAGCACAGGTGAGGAGGGGTCCGGCTCATTTGAAACGATATAGACTTAGAGTTACAGGGAGGAGTGAAGGTTTGCAATAAGTGAACAGTATGACTGGAAACCCTCCCTTTCAAATTATCCTCTTTTCATTTCTATAATTGCATCTTATACCATTTTCATGAACTTTATACATGAACAAGAGAGATATACGGTAGTGTAGCCGTGTCTGGTGAGTAAAGGAAACCCATCCTGACCATTCTGAGTTAATCTATTAATTCGTAGGTGATTATTACTCACATGTTCATACTCTCTTTATAAACGTACTTACTTTTTGTTGCTAGTATGATGGTTCAGGTCACATTCTAAGGCTTTATTGTCATGTGCACAACAGCTACCGCTCACCCCTGAGATAGAACCAACTGCTGTCGTAAACGCCGTCCCCTGCTGTGGGCCCGAATAAAGGATTTCTGCTTCACCTGCTGTTCCTCACCTGTCTCGTGTAGATACCAGTCCTGTGGCCATGTCGCCTTCGGGGCCCTCCGCCTCGCTCCTGCTGACCCGGCAGCTTCAGGAGAGCTGGAGGTCTCTGCGAGGGCTCGGGGGAGGAAGCCCCTCCTCGGCTGGGAGGCAGCTGACCAGACGACCTGCTGTTTGAGGTGACCGACGCCAAGCGTGGTGCTGGAGGGCTCCGCTAAATACGTGGTGAGCTCAAACAGTCAGGGTGGGGTCCATGGAGCGAAACGATCACAACACGATAATACCTTTTTTTATTCGTTTTTTTCCACAGGCATAACATAAATAAAACATACATGGAGATGCTTACACAACTGCACCTGTTGTACACCAGGGTTAATCATTCATGCCCTCCTTGGACACCAAAAGGATATACAATTTCTTGATGCTAACGATTTTCATACAGTATTGTGCAAACATTATAAACATATTACAGACATTATCACTCAAATCAACAAAATGATCGCACAATACCTGAACCAGTATGATAGTAAGAACCAGTGCTTTACCAGATTCTAGATGAAACAAGTACAAGTGCAGTGAATACAAATACATAAATACAAAATGAATTAATAAAGAGGTGCTGCTAGAGTTCTGGTGTTTCTTGCGATGGGGACCCCACACGATAATACTTTATTGTTAAAGTATAACATTTGTATTGTTTCAAAGCAGATCCATTGCGACAATCAAAAAAGATAAATATGTAAGACACATTCAAGTGAACAGAAATGACTATGTTCAAGAACTTTTGACCAAGCCACCCACACTGCACAAGAGCACTCAAACTGCTGTAATTAGGATATTTTTAATAATTATTATATTTGTGATTGCAATTGTCCTGTCCGACCCCTAAGTGATGATCCATCCAGAAGAATTCAATAACCCTGTTTGTTTTTTTACATCAGTGAGAAATGTTTTCCCTCAGAATCAAACAGAAAGGCTTTCTTCTCTACGGCTGCCTTTACGAGGTCATTTATGAAAATGAAGCAGAGTTTTCCATGTCCAGACTTGAATGTGCAAATAACCACAGTGTGCCACCGCAGTTAGTCAGAAGTCAGAAACCGGTATACTCAAAACAGACACACAGTTAGTTATGGAGAAACAGACTAGTTTGGTCACACAGAAATGGTTTACAAAAGTCAGAGATACAAAACAGCATAGCAGAAGGTCATTTTTACGATTAAACATGAAGGCACCGCTACAGACGACTTCTATCTACCTGTTCTTTAAAGGTATGCTGCCTAAATAAAGTCTTTACATGCACACACCCTTTTTATACTTTTATCAAAACTAATTTCAAGGCGAGCGACTTCCTGAATATGCAGAAAGTCTTAATTATGAAAAAAATCCTCTTCTTCATGTCTCTTCTACATCAACATGTGTCCCCTCTTCTTCATGTCTCTTCTACATCAACATGTGTCCCCTCTTCTTCATGTCTCTTCTACATCAACATGTGTCCCCCTCTTCTTCATGTCTTCTACATCAACATGTGTCCCTCTTCTTCATGTCTCTTCTACATCAACATGTGTCCCCTCTTCTTCATGTCTCTTCTACATCAACATGTGTCCCCTCTTCTTCATGTCTCTTCTACATCAACATGTGTCCCCTCTTCTTCATGTCTCTTCTACATCACCATGTGTCCCCTCTTCTTCATGTCTCTTCTACATCAACATGTGTCCCCTCTTCTTCATGTCTCTTCTACATCAACATGTGTCCCCTCTTCTCCATGTCTCTTCTACATCAACATGTGTCCCCTCTTCTTCATGTCTCTTCTACATCAACATGTGTCCCCTCTTCTCCATGTCTCTTCTACATCAACATGTGTCCCCTCTTCTTCATGTCTCTTCTACATCAACATGTGTCCCCTCTTCTTCATGTCTCTTCTACATCAACATGTGTCCCCTCTTCTCCATGTCTCTTCTACATCAACATGTGTCCCCTCTTCTTCATGTCTCTTCTACATCAACATGTGTCCCCTCTTCTCCATGTCTCTTCTACATCAACATGTGTCCCCTCTTCTTCATGTCTCTTCTACATCAACATGTGTCCCCTCTTCTTCATGTCTCTTCTACATCAACATGTGTCCCCTCTTCTTCATGTCTCTTCTACATCAACATGTGTCCCCTCTTCTTCATGTCTCTTCTACATCAACATGTGTCCCCTCTTCTTCATGTCTCTTCTACATCAACATGTGTCCCCTCTTCTTCATGTCTCTTCTACATCAACATGTGTCCCCTCTTCTTCATGTCTCTTCTTCATCAACATGTGTCCCCTCTTCTTCATGTCTCTTCTACATCAACATGTGTCCCCTCTTCTTCATGTCTCTTCTTCATCAACATGTGTCCCCTCTTCTTCATGTCTCTTCTACATCAACATGTGTCCCCTCTTCTTCATGTCTCTTCTACATCAACATGTGTCCCCTCTTCTTCATGTCTCTTCTTCATCAACATGTGTCCCCTCTTCTTCATGTCTCTTCTACATCAACATGTGTCCCCTCTTCCTCATGTCTCTTCTACATCAACATGTGTCCCCTCTTCTTCATGTCTCTTCTTCATCAACATGTGTCCCCTCTTCTTCATGTCTCTTCTTCATCAACATGTGTCCCCTCTTCTTCATGTCTCTTCTACATCAACATGTGTCCCCTCTTCTTCATGTCTCTTCTTCATCAACATGTGTCCCCTCTTCTTCATGTCTCTTCTACATCAACATGTGTCCCCTCTTCTTCATGTCTCTTCTACATCAACATGTGTCCCCTCTTCTTCATGTCTCTTCTTCATCAACATGTGTCCCCTCTTCTTCATGGTCTCTTCTACATCAACATGTGTCCCCTCTTCCTCATGTCTCTTCTACATCAACATGTGTCCCCTCTTCTTCATGTCTCTTCTTCATCAACATGTGTCCCCTCTTCTTCATGTCTCTTCTACATCAACATGTGTCCCCTCTTCCTCATGTCTCTTCTACATCAACATGTGTCCCCTCTTCTTCATGTCTCTTCTACATCAACATGTGTCCCCTCTTCTCCATGTCTCTTCTTCATCAACATGTGTCCCCTCTTCTTCATGTCTCTTCTACATCAACATGTGTCCCCTCTTCTTCATGTCTCCTCTACATCAACATGTGTCCCCCTCTTCTTCATGTCTCTTCTACATCAACATGTGGTCCCCCTCTTCTTCATGTCTCTTCTACACCAACATGTGTCCCCTCTTTTCATGGTCTCTTCTACATCACATGTGTCCCTCTTCTCTTCATGTCTCGTTCTACAACCAACATGTGTCCCCTCTTCTTCATGTCTCTTCTACATCAACATGTGTCCCCTCTTCTTCATGTCTCTTCTACATCAACATGTGTCCCCCTTCTTCTTCATGTCTCTTCTACATCAACATGTGTCCCCTCTTCTTCATGTCTCTTCTACATCAAACATGTGTCCCCTCTTCTTCATGTCTCTTCTTCATCAACATGTGTCCCCCTCTTCTTCATGTCTCTTCTACATCAACATGTGTCCCCTCTTCTTCATCAACATGTGTCCCCTCTCTTCATCAACATGTGTCCCCTCTTCTTCATCAACATGTGTCCCCTCTTCTTCATGTCTCTTCTACATCAACATGTGTCCCCTCTTCTTCATCAACATGTGTCCCCTCTTCTTCATCAACATGTGTCCCCTCTTCTTCATGTCTCTTCTTCATCAACATGTGTCCCCTCTTCTTCATGTCTCTTCTACATCAACATGTGTCCCCTCTTCTTCATCAACATGTGTCCCCCTCTTCTTCATGTCTCTTCTACATCAACATGTGTCCCCCTCTTCTTCATGTCTCTTCTACATCAACATGTGTCCCCTCTTCTTCATGTCTCTTCTACATCAACATGTGTCCCCCTCTTCTTCATGTCTCTTCTACATCAACATGTGTCCCCTCTTCTCCATGTCTCTTCTACATCAACATGTGTCCCCTCTTCTTCATGTCTCTTCTACATCAACATGTGTCCCCTCTTCTCCATGTCTCTTCTACATCAACATGTGTCCCCTCGCTTCTTCATGTCTCTTCTACATCAACATGTGTCCCCTCTTCTTCATGTCTCTTCTACATCAACATGTGTCCCCTCTTCTCCATGTCTCTTCTACATCAACATGTGTCCCCTCTTCTTCATGTCTCTTCTACATCAACATGTGTCCCCTCTTCTCCATGTCTCTTCTACATCAACATGTGTCCCCTCTTCTTCATGTCTCTCTTCTACATCAACATGTGTCCCCTCTTCTTCATGTCTCTTCTACATCAACATGTGTCCCCCTCTTCTTCATGTCTCTTCTACATCAACATGTGTCCCCTCTTCTTCATGTCTCTTCTACATCAACATGTGTCCCCTCTTCTTCATGTCTCTTCTACATCAACATGTGTCCCCTCTTCTTCATGTCTCTTCTACATCAACATGTGTCCCCTCTTCTTCATGTCTCTTCTTCATCAACATGTGTCCCCTCTTCTTCATGTCTCTTCTACATCAACATGTGTTCCCCTCTTCTTCATGTCTCTTCTTCATCAACATGTGTCCCCTCTTCTTCATGTCTCTTCTACATCAACATGTGTTCCCCTCTTATTCTTCATGTCTCTTCTACATCAACATGTGTCCCCTCTTCTTCATGTCTCTTCTTCATCAACATGTGTCCCCTCTTCTTCAATGTCTCTTTCTACATCAACATGTGGTCCCCCTCTTCCTCATGTCTCTTCCTACATCAACATGTGTCCCCTCTTCTTCATGTCTCTTCTTCATCAACATGTGTCCCCACTTCTCATGTCTCTTCTTCTTCATCAACATGTGTCCCCATCTCTTCATGTCTCTTCTTACATCAACATGTGTCCCCTCTTCTTCATGTCTCCTCTACATCAACATGTGTTCCCCTCTTCTTCATGTCTCTTCTACATCAACATGTGTCCCCTCTTCTTCATGTCTCTTCTACACCAACATGTGTCCCCTCTTCTTCATGTCTCTTCTACATCAACATGTGTCCCCTCTTCTTCATGTCCTCTTCTAACACCAACATGTGGTCCCCCTCTTCTTCATGTCCTCTTCTACATCAACATGTGTCCCCTCTATCCTTCATGTTCTCTTCTACATCAACATGTGTCCCCCTCTTCTTCATGTCTCTTCTACAATCAACATGTGTCCCCTCTTCTTCATGTCTCTTCTACATCAACATGTGTCCCCTCTTCTTCATGTCTCTTCTTCATCAACATGTGTCCCCTCTTCTTCATGTCTCTTCTACATCACCATGTGTCCCCTCTTCTTCAATCAACATGTGTCCCCTCTTCTTCACAACATGTGTCCCCTCTTCTTCATGTCTCTCTCTTACAATCAACATGTGTCCCCTCTCTCTTCATCAACATGTGTCCCCCTCGTCTTCATGTCTCTGTCGTCTATCAACATTGGTCCCCTCTTCTTCATGTCTCTTCTACATCAACATGTGTCCCCTCTTCTTCATCAACATGTGTCCCCTCTTCTTCATCACATGTGTCCCTCTTCTTCATGTCTCTTCTTCATCAACATGTGTCCCCCTCTTCTTCATGTCTCTTCTACATCAACATGTGTCCCCCTCTTCTCCATGTCTCTTCTACATCAACATGTGTCCCCTCTTCTTCATGTCTCTTCTACATCACCATGTGTCCCCTCTTCTCCATGTCTCTCTCTACAATCAACATGTGTCCCCTCTTCTTCATGTTCTCTTCTACATCAACATGTGTCCCCTCTTCTCCATGTCTCTTCTACATCAACATGTGTCCCCTCTTCTTCATGTCTCTTCTACATCAACATGTGTCCCTCTTCTTCATGTCCTCTTCTACATCACCATGTGTCCCCTCTTCTCCATGTCTCTTCTACATCAACATGTGTCCCCCTCTTCTTCATGTCTCTTCTACATCAACATGTGTCCCTCATCTTCTTCATGTCTCTTCTACATCAACATGTGTCCCCTCTTCTTCATGTCTCTTCTACATCAACATGTGGTCCCCTCTTCTTCATGTCTCTTCTACATCAACAGTGTCCCCTCTTCTTCATGTCTCTTCTACATCAACATGTGTCCCTTCTTCTTCATGTCTCTTCTACATCAACATGTGTCCCCCTCTTCTTCATGTCTCTTCTACATCAACATGTGTCCCCCTCTTCTTCATGTCTCTTCTACATCAACATGTGTCCCCTCTTCTTCATGTCTCTTCTACATCAACATGTGTCCCCTCTTCTTCATGTCTCTTCTACATCAACATGTGTCCCTTCTTCTTCATGTCTCTTCTACATCAACATGTGTCCCCTCTTCTTCATGTCTCTTCTACATCAACATGTGTCCCCTCTTCTTCATGTCTCTTCTACATCAACATGTGTCCCCTCTTTCTTCATGTCTCTTCTACATCAACATGTGTCTCCTCTGTGGAAAGAGACTCTGAAAGTTTCAGGAACAAAGATTCTCTCTCTTTTTGATCCATTTCTATAAAAACCTGTCTGAAAATGAGCTGATCAGATTTTGGCCACTTTATGATGTCATCACGATGTTTTGTCTTGTGTAACCATCAGCCAATCAGCAACCAAGGTAACCCCCCCCCCCCCCCCCCCCCCCCCCTTATCACCTGAATCTCCTCCTAGAGCACCATTGAGTTCTTTGTAACCAAATCTCTCTCAGAGGGGCGTGGAGAGGGGGCTCCTTATTTTCATCTAAAGTAACAGACAGAGAATCAGCACTTTGGAAACAGGGCTGAAACAGAGGGGATTATGGGTAATGCTGCAATGATCTGTTTGGTGTTCGGAGCCAAACACTTCAGAGACAGGTTCTGTATCTGAGACCTATAATATATTGATGAAAAACAGTATAATAGGGACCTTTAAAGTCTGTTTCTCTGCAGCTGTACACAATCCACGTGATCCTGTCCGGCGGCAGCGATAAGACTCCCGCCATCATCACTCGCCGATACTCCGACTTCCAGCGGCTCCACGCCACGCTACGCCGTAACCACGGAGACCAGATGGAGCGCGTCTGTTTCCCTCGTAAGTAGAAAGGATGTCTTCTGTCCAAGCGTGAAACCATGGATGTCGTTTTTTATGCTCAGAATGGCAAACTGGTGGCAAATAAAAAACAATGGACAGGTTGTGAATTTCACCTTAAAGCAGATCTATTGTGGAAAAAGCCATAAAGAATAAATATCCTTGGATTTTACATTGAATTTCCCCCAGTTAAGAAGTCAAGCAATATGGCACCTTTTTATAAATATGAATACCAAGAAAGTTGCAAAGACTTCCTATATTTCAAAATCTGAACTCTGAAAGGACTTTAATAATTCCTGGCTGGTACAAAAGTTGCTGTTTTTTGTTTTGTTTCTATTAGGAAAACAGGATGGCTGCACAAATAATCAATAAATTGCCATACAGTATGAACTAGTGCGATGTTAAGGCCTATAGAGATAACCCGCCCTACAAATAGTGTTATCAAAACGTATTTGTTTGGTACAGAACCTCATAAAATAATCCCTCCATTATCAGTTAAAATATTTTCATGGATAATGAGTTATCACGAATTATAATTAAATCAATAATCATGAAACCCTCCAGCATCCTGAATTATATCGTAAATGAGGTCAGCCCTAGTTTCTTCGAAAACTATTGATACACCTTTTGTTGTTGATAAAGAAAGTACAAATAGAAACCTTAGAGGTAATGATGATGGCTAACCTGCATGTTTCCTGTTTCCCGCAGCAGTTAAAATCACTCCTAAACTAGCACTTCCTGTTTTGATCTGTGCAGGGAAGAAGCTGCGCAGGAACTTCACGGCGGAGACGATCGCTAAGCGGAGTCGAGCGTTCGAGCAGTACCTGTCTCACCTGTGCTCCCTGTCTGCCCTGCGGGGGGCGCTGTGTGTGAGACAGTTCTTCTACCTGACCGACCTGCAGGCCGCTCAGATGCTCATCAGGTAACTCACACGCCAACAGAAACTCAAAAGTCATCCAAGAATATAAACATAAAGTCAAAATGAACAAAATGACGGTTATGCTCAATTTTGCCTGAGATTATGATGAGTCACAGCTCTGTGAAAGGATAGTGTTTAATCCTGCTACCTGGCTAACAGGCTACTGATATCTATATAATATACATTTCCAGATATGGGGTTTCTCCTCGAACATGTTTACATGCTTTAATGTTAAAAAACACATATTATTTTCCTCTCATCCCCGTATTTACACGTTTTTAAAAGGCATGTCTCTTTAAGCTCCCTAAACAATGTGATGCACTTTTGTGAAGGTAGTTCTCAATTCATCGGTTGAGACACTTAGATGTGTTCATATGAAGTTGTGTGGGTTGGCAACCACTCTTCATACTAACCACTCCAGATACTAACATATATGTGCTCAAGAAATGAAAAGGTGTTTTTTTTTATGATAACTCATAAGATATGTAACATTCTTGTAGACTCTAAGGCTGAGCAGTGAATCAATTGATATTGTTCTCTTAATTGTTTTTATTTACTTGCATGGTATAAAAACAGTTAACAATAATGTAGTGGACAAATAAGTAGAAGAAAAAAAAAACAAGCCTTTTCAATAAAGTCCTACGGATACCCATCCTAATTGAAGGATGAGGTAAAGACGTGATTTTTGAAGCTGTGATGTCCCTCAATTGGGCGTAGAGCCTGAACACATCTTGAGCAAGTGCGGGAAGAGAACTGAAACTAAAGAGCTGGTTAGTTTGAATAACCTACATTTAAAAGCAGAGCCATTCATCGCAGCCTCTTTATAATTTAAGTACAGAAGTATTGTGAAAACTGACATTTTGAGTGTCCAGGGTTAAGTTTGTGTTGTTTCGTTGAGGGTGGGACGTTACCAGGAGGCCTTGGGTCCGCTGCTCAACGCCAAGAGACTGCAACACAAACTGGGATGGGAGAGTTACTATGACAACCAGTCTCAGTCAGCCCCGCCCCCGGCCTCCTCCCATTGGTTCTTCACCCTGGTGGGGCTGGCGAGCTGCTTCCAGGAAGTGGAGCAGCTTGAGGAGGCGAGGGATCACGTTGACGCCGCCCTGCGTGTCCTGACGCCCCCTGAGACTGAGGACAGGCCCCTCCCCCTCCAAAATAAGCCCCACCCACTGACTGAAAAGCCTGGCTACAGGCCACACCCCCTCCTGTTGCCGTTGCTACAGACGGTGGTTCGGTTGTCGTGGCTGACGGGCAGAGACAAGCGGCACTGGGAGGAGCTTCTGAAGGAGGAGGAGCAGAGGGAGGGGCTCGACAACCAGCCAACCGTCAGAGAGTATCTGGTGAAACACATCCTGCAGGAGGGCGAGGGGGAGGGCTAGACACACACACACACACACACACACACACACATACACATACACACACACACACATACACACACACACACACACACACACACACACTCCAGGGTTCCTACGGTCATTAAAAACCTGGAAAAGTCATGGACATTCAAAATGCAAATTCCAGGCCCTGGAAAAGTTCTGGAAAACAATATTTTTCCCAAAGTTTGGGAAAAGTCATGGAAATGTAACCAAAGTTGCATCAAATATAATTTATATTTGATCTAATCGCCGAAATAGTAATACTATAATGATAATACATACCGTATCGTATAGTAATGAAACGTAAAATGGCATTTAACTGACGAGGTGTTTTGCTGGTGAGAGATTTTTATAATCACGCCCTCTAGTCTACAGTGCTTTAGTCTGTAGGAGCTAGTAAGCCTACTATTTGATTTGTTTTAGACAGGCAGTAGAAACAACATGTTTCATATGCAGACCTTATTTTCCAGCTTACCATGTTAAGATACAAATGTTTCAGTGGTACCGCTGAGAAAGAGTAATTTTTTTGGTCATGGAAAATGAGGTAAAGCTCATGGAAAAGTCATTGAAAAGCATTGGTGAAAAAGTGTATGAACCCTGACACACACACAAAACACACACACACACACACACACACACACACACACACACACACACACACACACACACACACACACACACACACACAGCAGAGTACAATCACGATGCTACAACACTAGTGGAAAAAACATCTTGAGAATAAAGCAATAAAGTTATTTGATCAAAAACTAAAAGGCCTAGGTTTGCGGAAACAAATCTGAATATTTAGGGAGTTAACTCAAGTGAAAATATATCACAACGGAATATTTTTAAATATATATTTTAAAAGAAATACTTTGACAGTCACACCTTAGTATTGTGAATTATCTCCTGTATCAAACTTGGCTGTGATCGTTTTGAATATAAAGACCTTCCTTAAAACATATTTTCTGAATATTTCCCAAAAATGACAAAACAATTGTAAATTTACAAGAAAGAGATATAATAATATAATATTCCTTTCTATTTCTTATGATAAATAAGTCCAAAGTTATAATATCACAAGAGAGAGTTAAACAAAAGAAAAGTTGTAATTTCAAGAAAAAATATTTAGGTCAAAATACATTTTAGAGAAAAGCCACAAACGAGCTCTCGTTAAATTAAGCCTTTTATCAAAACGTTCCGTTTTCAAAATCTCTGATACTTTCTTCCTAAAAGCTGCTGTTATGTATACTATACATTCAATCACACTTTGAGAGCCTTAAAGCAGTTCATCATAGACGCTCTGACGCTTCACATCAGGACCTTTCCATGAGTTGATTCCAAAGTGCGAGCTGCTGAAGTAAAAAGGCAATGCAACTTAGCACATAAAAGTCCTATAAATACAAAACAGATATATATAGTATAACCTATAAGAAGCAGAGGATGGATCACTAGTCTGTTGGTACATCACAATAATACTTGGTGTCACCGCCACCTGCAGGTCAGTAGAATAATGTGAAACCATGAGAAGCATTCTACCTGGAGGATTGTCTCTCTTTAGCACTTTGGAAGAGCTTTTATAAAAAGATATACTTGTCTGACTATAGCCAGGACAATTTACTACATACTTTGTTCTCAAGAGGAATGCAATCATTTAATGCACTTTTTTTAAAGAGTCTCTTGGATGTGTTCACATTGTTGACAATTGAAATGAAGCCTTTGCCGGTTGCCAGTATGTCAAATTCAACTTTGAAAGAGGCATTCAATCATCACTCAAACACTTTGCTCCCTGCTCACAGCAAACAATCAGTAGGGTCATATTCCCTCGGCACAGCCTGCTGCTTTTTAGGGATGATTATGTTTTAATGTGAGACCTGTGGTTTCTGGATAAGGGATCAAAACAGACGTGAAGACTCAATTTACACGAGTACGAAAAATCTAATGTTTTTTCTATCATGTTGCGAGACAAGCGATTACAAAGGGACACGATGAAGGTATTACCACTTTAATGAGGGACAATTATAAAGCAATGAACTTGACGGATACATTGATCAGGACTAAACACGTGTTCAGGTTGTCGCCGTATTCCTCTGTTCACATCGTATCCATGGCGTTCAATGGAGAATACAGAACACATCACTCCTCCAGTCTTAATAACATTCGGAGTTAGGGAATGTTTTGCTTCAAATATCCATGTAATGGGCTGTGGAGATGCTTCACAACAAGTACAACATTAGCACATGTAGTACAAGTAATACTAATTTTATATTCTGCTTTACTACAATGCTTTGTCTTCTCATTTCCTGCTTCTTCTCGACGCTTCACTTGGTAAAGAATCTCAATTCCTCCTCTAGAAATCAGGTAATAGAAATGGAAATATCGTGGCTGTTATTGACGAGCTGTTTTGCACAAAGCCTCAGAGCCAATGGGAATCCTATTGTGGTCATACATATCTTTCAAAGTACAAATATACATGCATAACTTGAAGTACATGTGACATTTAAAATAAGAAGCGCGTTTAAAGTAATGCAGCTTGTAATTCTAAATGGCTGCGTTTATATAAGGCTTTACAATTTGATGGTTTTCATTCAAAGGTCAGATGTTGATATGAATATTAATCCGCTTGCTCCATTCAAAGACAGTTGTTTACTAAAAATGTAAAATCATTGTGACTAAATATGGCTAAATATATTTAAGAGGAGGTGATGCCACGTAACACATTACAGAGCACTAAACAGGAAGCTGGATTCGGACACTCATAACTCAGAGATGCTTTTATTGCGGTTGTGTTTTTGATGCCGGATGGGTTTTGAGAAGTTGATATTTTTTTTGTTTTTTGAGCCAATCAAGTTTTATATAGGCCTCATGCAAGAACTCTTAAAGGGACAGTTCAACACAAAATTAGAAAATAGACATTTTTCTTCTTACCTGTAGTGCTATTTATTCATCTAGTTTTTTGTTTGAAAACTTACTGAAACTTATCTTGAGTTACTAGGTCATGAAGGAGAGATTTTTAAAAAATATTTAAATCCAAAACCTGTTTCCTTGTTGGTCAGGTTTTACCATAAAAGTGCTATCCAACATAAAACTACAACTTAAAACTGCACAAAGTTGTAGTAAATCAGCATTTGTGAGTTCAACAACAGTCAAATGCACACACCCGGGATGCAATGTAAAGTTGAATTGATGAAAACAATTATTCAATTAAAGGAAAAAGCGTTATTAATGCTAATTGGTTTCAATGATGTGGCAAACTAAATACTTGTTATATTATATAATATATTCATTTAAAATAAAAAACTACAAGTCCAAGACTGTTTTTATAAGTTGTTCTTGCATGAAGCCAACAATTGTCCCTAAAAGATAATTTTCTCGGAATCTTTGGGACACAGTTTGGTTAAAAAACTAATATTTTGAGTTGTTAAATGAGTTTGATGACGGGCTCTGTGCTTAGTGTGCTTTTTAACACTAACACTTTTAATGCTGCATGTTTGCGAAATCCTTAGTAACAATTTTTTTTTGGGTGTTCTTGTTGTTGTTATTGTTCCGACTAAAGGTTTTCTCGGTCAGTTCAGAAATGACCACAAACTGTTCAAAGTTCATTTCAAATTTAGCAAACATTTATTCAGATAAAAAGGGTCTCTAGTTACATTTTGAACAAAAAAACTCATGTGAAATATTGTAAACTCCACTTCTCCACATTTACCTGTTCAAGTGAAAACAAAATTCACTTTTTTATTCTTTTCAAAGAGCCGGTTTGTGCTTGTTGTGTTTCTGTTTGAGAAGTTTGTGTGTTCGGCTGCATTTCCTCTGAAAACCAAACAGAATTTAAACCACAAACAGCTCCCGTCTGTAAAAGATGAAACTAATTTCCTCCCCGTTAACCCTTTAAACTCTTCCTCCTCTCAGTGGAGATGCAGCCCGTCTGTCTGTGTGGAATATTTTTTACAATATGGATTTAGCAGAACAGCTTCGTGGAGCAATATACAAGTATATTTTCAAGTATCTTTTATGGAATAAATTTGGTTAAAAAAGCAAACTGGATTTCTCTATATTTATTTCTCCATGTGGCATAATGTGGGCAGGGGTGGGGAACCTCCGGTATACGGACCGCGAGACCATTTGGTACGGCCCTTGTACACATTTTTAAAAAATGTAAGAAATCTAGACCGCAAAATAATTAAACAAGCCCTCGAGGTCATTTATAAAAAAAAAGCGAGTGCCTGTTTTTCCTGGCCACGGTCAGGGTCCTTGAACACAACACGAGCCCAACGTGTCATCACCTGGTCATCACGTGGTATATGTCTCGTCTGACAGGGGTGCAGAGGTGCAGAGCTGACGGAGAGCACCAGAACGCCGCTCCGGCACTTCAGAAATGGCAGTGCCCATAAGGAGCCGTACACATGCCACAGTTTTTGCAGGGCTGTGTCTTTAGTTGAAAGCCCAGTGGCGATCTGTTCATCTGTCATACTGATCATACAGTCAATAGCTTTGTTGTTATTAGCATCTGGTTAGCTAGCTATGCTAACGAATATAAGAAGCTTTTTCTACAACCAGTAAAGGCACATCTTTATATGATCGTTAAAAAAAACAAGAGAATAAAGTAAACGGGTATAAAATACTATGACAGTAAAAAAAAGTTGTTATTAATAAACAAGAATACAGTTTGAAAGGGGAGTGATTTGTAAAATATCCATAGAGAAAAACAAAATCTGCTTACAGTTCTGTTTCATATGGGTGTTGAGAGATGTTTCCATAGATCTTAATGTTGCTCTCAAAGTGCACCACATAGTTGCACCTGCAAGGTGAATACAGCTGGTAAAAGAAAAAGTGTTTGAATGCGTACTACATTAACAGGTTTATCATATCACTGCCCCGTCTAATTTGACTCGAGTGTTTCGTCAACTTAATGTGTTGCTCAGAGCCCTAGAGATACTAATTAATATCTAACTATATAACTAATTAGTATCTCCAGGGCTCTGGTGTTGCTTAAAAATAATACTTCTGCATACAGTATGTGCAGGGCCGCCCCTCCCTACAGGCCAATCACGCAGGCTGCATGGGGCCCCGCTTTGCGCAGGGGGCCCCGCCCAGAGGGCCTCAGCTGCTGTGC